AGCTCCCCACCATCTAGTCCGGCAGACTCAGAACGGTCAGGCATACCTGGGGACACAGAAGTAAGAGATCTCCTTCGTAACATGCCGTCTAAGCAAGACCTGGCGAACATGCTGGGTAAGCTGGAGATGTCCTTCCAAGGCAAATTGGACGCCATAGGAGCAGACATACGCCACATGGGTGATAGGATTGGGTCACTGGAAGAGGACAGGGATGTCACCCACACGCAGGTACAATCCCTCCAGGAAACTATGAGAGCCCACACAGCCCAGCTAACGGAATTATAGCGCTCACTAGATGATCTGGATAACAGGGGGAGAAGGAATAACCTGAGGGTGAGAGGTATCCCTGAAAATGACAATGAAGATATCATAGCAACACTTACTGAGCTTTTCAATTTAATCCTTGGCAGAGCTCCTGACTCAACTATAATATTTGACAGAGCCCATAGAGCCCTAAGACCCAGGGGCCTGTCCACAGACAGATCCAGAGACGTGATATGCCGGCTGCACTATTACAGATGCAAAGAAGACATCCTGACAGCGCTACGAAACTCCACCCAGCCGTTGCTATTCTATAACGACCAAATCAGTATTTATCCAGATCTATCCTGGCTCACACTACAAGCCAGACGCTCACTGAAACCCATCACGGACCAGCTGAGGGTGAGGAACATCAGATACAGGTGGGGCTTTCCATTTGCCTTAAGCACCACGATTAATGGCACCCAACACAACATCCACACCATACAGGATGTCCCAATATTCCAGAGGGCACTAGACCTCCCCATGACTCACGTCAGCGACTGGTATGGCCCGACGCCACCTCATGGGATACCTCAGGCGCCCCAACGCTCCCGCTGGCAGCAGGAGACAAGGAAAAGACACACGGAGGCCACGGACACCACATTCCAAGGGGATACGAGACCACTTTCCACAAGAAGGCAATAATCTACTCAACTACCCGAAACAGCAGAAAATCGGCACGCTAAAGATACCACAGCTACTCACAGATGATGGAATTCCAATTTAAAAAAAAAAAAAAAAAAGGAAAGAAAAAGAAAAAAAAGCCCAGAAAGGACAAAAGCATTGGAGAAGGGTGACTTTCTATTACAAGCTTTATCGTAGGGGTCGGACCCACATTGGGTAAGAGTCACCGATGACACTCGCATGTGATACGCTTGACTTACCGGGGACCCGAACAGAGATAAAACCAGTCGAAGCTGAGGCACACTACCTCCCACGACACCGGGACTTTCTCCCTCCGAGGCACAGGTGGACGAGTTGGGAGATTCCTCTGCCCACGCCAAAGACTCTCATGAGGGCGGGTAATATGGTTATTATTTGACTCTGTTTAGACACCCCCTTTCCACCCTGGGTTAACACAACTTAATACAAATGTATATAGATATTGCAGGGAAGAATACGACATGGTGCCCACTAGCCTAAAAAACAGCCAGCAGCGCAGACTAGCGATAACCACCGCTAAGTAAAAGATACCGGAGCACTGTACCATATGCCACCTATTACACCTACCTAACGGCCTTAATCGACCTAAGCCACAGAGTCGAGATAGATATACCCGAAATTCTCGGGAACTTATCTCTCAAGGGTCCTCACAATGTCCCCCCTCCCCCCAATAGAACCCTCCCCACCCCAAAAATACGAAATGCCCACTTAAGGGCTACCAAATAAAAACACAGGCCCTTAGCCACATGACCGGGCGGAGGGGAAAGGGACGCCATAAGAGTATCCCTCCTGAACTCCAAGGTGCCCTAAAAGCCCAACACACCAAGCCTTGTCCCAGGGGTCTCAAGCCAAATACGCACCCACCCACAAAGCTAAATGTACCACTTCAAGCGAGGTTCACACCGAACAGGATAGCGATCAGCCATACCCCTCTCTTCACCCACAACTAGACTTGCTGTCTATTATCTACCCTCTCCCCCCCCCCAAGATAATACTCCTAGGAGTATGGGCATACACACACGTATGCCTATACCAGATATTATCTGACCTTAGGCCCCTCAGGCCTACACCAAGGTGACAGATAGGCTCTCGGAGAGAAGGATCATCTCACCCGAGACAGTTACCATAGGTATTCACGCACCAGACCCAGGTGCAGGTTATAAGTCCAAGTGTGTGATATTCATATATGTTATTTTTTTTTCTTGTTCTTGAGTGTTTACTGAAAATTTTTTCACTTGTTTTGTTTGTTGTATTACTACTTGTAAATATCCAAATATTTCTGTATAGACAGGTCTGTGGCCAAGCGCTGGGTGGAGACAAGACACCTACCCCATTCACCCCTAAAATAACTGACCAACGATGACCACCCTACGCATAATCACTCTCAATGTGAAAGGGTTAAACTCCCCAGAAAAACGTTCCCTGACCCTCAACGAGTTGCACAGACTGAGAGCTGACGTGGCGTTTCTCCAGGAAACCCATTTTAAAAAAGACAAAGCTCCCAGTCTGAGGAACAGTAGATATCCCACAAGCTACTATGGCCATTTCGCTGAGAAAAAGACTCGGGGAGTGGCCATATTACTCTCCGCACAGGTACCTTTCACACTCAGACCAGAAAACAGACGATTCAGGGAGGTTACTGCTTGTAAAGGGGACCATGGGACAAAACAAAATTACCTTTGTAAACATGTACCTACCCAACACGGGCCAATGCAAGACCCTCAAAAAATGCCTGAGATGGATAGAGACCTTTGCAGAGGGTATACTCATCATGGGGGGTGACTGTAACCTGTCTCTAGACTCGGCTCTAGACACCACATCGGCAACTCCTAACAGAGATGACTCAAAACGCAAGTGCTTCTCCCGCCTCTTAGACAGCTCCCAACTATACGAATGCTGGAGAGTAAGCCACCCCAATAGAAAAGACTACTCATACTATTCACATGCAAATCGTACCTACTCCAGGTTGGATATGTTCTTCCTACCTCAGCGGTTATTGCATTTAGTGACAGCATGCTCCTACGGCCCTATCACATGGTCAGACCATGCGCCCCTGTCTCCTGCCGTTCATATACCCTCCCTTCCCCTAAAAACTTACCAATGGAAATTAAATGACTTGCTACTAAATGACAAATCAGTGACTGAAAAAATACGCACTTCCATTCAACAGTACTTCACAGAGAACTCCTCCCAACAAACCTCCCCCCCAATAACATGGGAAGCACATAAGTGTGTGCTTCGGGGACAGCTCATAGCCATAGCCTCCACACAGAAAAAAAGGAGAGACAATAAAATTGCATCCCTCACAAAAGATATACGGGCCCTGGAGGCGGCCCACCACAGTAAGGACGTCTTCCAGACATATAAGGCGTTGCTCGCAAAGCGCACAGAGCTACAACAAATATTAAACACACAGGTCCAACGCACACTATTACGCACCAAACATTCCTACTTCTATTCCGGAGGCAAATGCGGTCGCCTCCTGGCCTCTGCATTAAAACAAAGCAGACAAGGGGGCGTGGCCTGGAGGGAAACCGGAGCGGTCGCATGTACTAGCGGCTCCGCTCCGTGACCGGCTTCAACGGAGAAATTAAGCCCGAAATCGGCCACAAAAACAAGCATGTCGCAACATAAAGGGAAGAGGACAACAGAGAGAGCAGAGAAAACGAATTTCTTTGTCTCCAGAGCCGGGCAAACCAAAAGCCAGACACCTCATGAGCTGATCCAAGATGGCGCCGAGGACATGGCAGACAGCAGAGAACACACAGAGGAAACTGAACCTGCACTTACCCACAGCACAATCAAAGCTCTGCTAGATGACATGGCAGCAAAATTATTACTACAGCTAGAGTCCACAATAAAGGACATCAGAAAGGATGTGCAGGAGCTGGGGACGCGAACCTCCAGAGTGGAGGACAAAATGGCGGAATATGACACCGCTCACAACAACCTGGTGGGCACAGTAGACTCCATATTAGCCAAATTGGAGGCACAAGATACGAAAATTGCCGACATGGAAGACCGCGCAAGGAGAAATAATCTCCGAATACGAGGCATACCGGAAACTGTAAGTGTGCCTGACCTCATGGCCCATGTAACAGGCCTCCTGAGACACCTATTACCAGACTGGCCTCAAGAGATGCTGCTGATCGATAGAATCCACCGTACAGCAAAACCCAGTTTCTTACCCCCGGAAACGCCGCGTGATGTTCTGCTCCGCATGCATTATTTCCACGCCAAAGAAGCAGCCCTGAACGCCAACAGAACGCACAAAGGTCTGCCGGATCCATATAAACATATAGCACTCTACGCGGACATCTCAGCCTTCACCTTAAAACGCCGCAGAGACTTCAGGGACATCACACGGACCCTACGAGACCATCACCTCCCTTACCGTTGGGGATACCCAACCAAGATATTGGTCAACAGAAAGGGCAAAATCACGGCCATCCAGACACCGGAAGACGGACGAAAAATCTTACAGACCTGGGACATCGCATTACCGGCTACGGCGACCACGGAGGAGAACACACCACGACTCTCCCCAGACTGGAGAAAACCCAAAAGAAAATGAACAAAGACTTTCCCGCACCAGGGGTGATCACCCACACAGAGGCAGAGTCGGTCTGAAACCAGGGATGGGTAAAGTAATAGAACTGCAAAGATGACATATAGAATAGATATTGAAGCATGACATTACAGGGACACTTCCCCTAAGAGAGAGAGAGAGAGAGAGAGAAAAAAAAAAAAAGGGGAGAGGGGGGCCATGGAAGGCTCAAAACCCCAAAAAGCTTATGACACCACTGGATAAGTTGAGAGAGGACAGATCGGCATGTAGCCAGTGTCCAAACCACAAACAGACTAAAGACCCATACCCTACCGACAATAAACCCATTAGAATTACCCCACTGGTGTAATACCCACCATCCCACTGACTCAGAAAAAAAAAATAAAAATAAAAAAATTCTCGAGTAGCGACAAAAAACAACAGACCCACACAGGGCGATACAGTCACTAATTAAGAGTACAAGAAGCCACGGACAGGGCGATGTACCAGACCGAGAAGCTTAGCTTCACCCCCAAGGCACGATGACGCAGTGCCCAGCCATACCTCAGGCAGAATTGTTATTTGTATATACTTTTGTTGTTATGTTACTGTTATGTATTGTACATTTTTGTTTAGTCACTGGTATCCAAATCAAACTCTCAGAGGGGCACACCACAGGGAACCCCGCGAAACCACCTTTCTCACACACCACTCTACTAGTGCCCACCCTACTTAGACACGAGCCTACTCCACAAGCTCCACGGGACACCCACGCCCAAACCAAACATGGGACGCTAGCACTCGGCTTGCTGAAGCTGGGAGGAGTGCTGTCCCTTGACGAAACATGCACCACAAAACACTATAGCCCACCACACCATAAGAAACCACCGTGAGGATCTGTACATATAACGTACGGGGATTGAATACCCCCGCAAAAAGACATATGCTACACAGGGAGCTCAAATCCCTAAACGCGGATATTGTATGTCTCCAGGAGACACACTTTAGACACATGGATCACCCCAATATCCAAACACTGCAATTTCCACAACAATACCACGCCACATCACCTACTAAATCTAAGGGCGCCTCTATCCTCTTAAGCAAACACGTAAAGTTTGAACCACAACACCATGAAACGGACAATAATGGCAGATATGTCCTCCTACAGGGCAAACTAAACGATATGGCCTACACAATAATCAATGTCTACACACCTAACACAAATCAGCGAAACTTCCTACAGAGCATTCTCAAAAAAACAAGTGCTATACGACAGGGAATTACGATAATCTGTGGCGATTTCAATCACATCATAGATCCCAAAACAGACACCACCCTATCACGACATAGCCGTCGACAACGCCCCCTGAACAGACAATGCAAAGCCCTACAGAAACTCATACACGAACATCATTTCTATGATGCATGGAGAATCACACACCCAGGGGAAAAAACATTTACCCATTTCTCACACGTCCACAACTCCTACTCGCGGATAGATGGGTTCCTCATCTCAGGGCAACACCTAAACCAAATCCACACCTGCGAAATAAAACAAATCACATGGTCTGACCACGCACCTGTGCTCCTCGACATGAAAAACTTATACGATTTTAAACACCGTAGCCCCTGGAAACTAAATGACATGCTGCTACAAAATAACGAATACACGAAAGAATTCGCAGATGACCTCACTCTATACTTTACACAGAACGACAACGGAGAAGTGTCACCGACCACTATCTGGCAGGCACACAAAGCAGTCATACGTGGGCTGCTAATTAGAAAGGCGGCATACCTAAAAAAACAGACACAGACCACACTAAAAACATGGCAACGAGAGCTATATGACTTAAACAGGAGTAACCAACTACAACCAACGGCAGAAAACAGACACCGCATCACGACCATCACTAGGCTCCTACACCAGCAAGCACTAGATCAAACGCAAACTAACATGACGAGACTCAAAATAGCACACTACATGCAGGGCAACAAAGCGAGCAAACTCCTAGCTAACCAACTGAAACAAAAACAAGTCAGTCAAAAAATAGCCTATATCCTAGACAACAAAGGCCAGAAACAAACCACACCTAGGGAAATCAGTGAAACATTTGCCAAATACTACCATACCCTGTACAACCTGAAAGGAGACTCGGCCACGACGCAACCCACAGACACCAACATAAAAACATACTTAGACAAACTAACCCTACCACGACTTACGCCACAACAGCAGACAGATTTAACCAAACCTATAGACATACAGGAGATGCTCACAACCATCCAAACACTGCCGACGGGCAAATCACCAGGCCCGGATGGCCTGACAAACTTATACTACAAGAAGCTCAGCCACATTTTAGCACCCCACCTAACAAAGACTTTCAATCATGCTATAGCCCAGAAATCCCTCCCAAAAGAGATGCTGTTAGCACACATTGTCACGTTGCCAAAACCTAACAAACCACCCACGACGCCGAAAAACTTTAGACCCATCTCACTCCTAAACACAGACGCAAAACTTTTTGCCAAACTCTACGCGACAAGACTAGGACAAATCATACCACACATCATTCACAACGACCAGGTGGGTTTTGTAAAAGGGAGACAGGGGTCGGACAACACAAGGAAGGCCATAAACCTGCTATACAAACTACAGACACAAAAGGAGGGGGGATTATTCCTCTCTCTGGACGCAGAAAAGGCCTTTGATAGGCTACACTGGGGGTTTTTAAAAGCAGTCTTACGCAAGTTCGGAATACCGGACAAATTTGAGGCTGTAGTGGACGCATTATATAGCTCACCCGAGGCACGGGTGCTGAACTCGGGGTTCCTGTCAGAGCCGTTTCGGCTCACCAACGGAACAAGACAAGGCTGCCCACTATCGCCGCTACTATATATCCTAGCCCTAGAACCACTAGCCACACGATTCAGAGAAAATAGCAACATACACGGAATAAAACTGGGGAAGAAGGAATATAAAACAGGACTGTTTGCAGACGACATTATGCTGACAATCACACAGCCACACATCTCACTCCCAAACATTCTTGCTGAAATAAAGGAGTATGGAGATCAATCTTATTATACATTGAACGTCACCAAAACACAGGCCATGGGGATAGGAATGACTCAAACCTCGCTAGACAAACTAAAAGATAACTTCCAATTTGACTGGAGGGGGGATTACATCACTTTTTTGGGATTAAAATTGCCAAAACACCCTCACCAACTGTTACAACTTAATTACGGCAAACTCCTAAAGGAAAGCGAAGAAACACTAAAAAGCTGGGAACACAAATTTCTGTCTTGGATAGGTAGGATGACTGCCCTGAAAATGGTCTTACTCCCCAAGTTCCAATACCTCATCAGAACACTACAGATATTCCTCCCGAACAAATACCTAAACAAGCTGCAACGCATATACACATCATTTGTATGGGCACACAAAAAAATAAGAGTGGCGTCAGCGATCCTGAGCAGACATACCTCTCAAGGAGGTCTGGGCCTACCAGACGTCCGTCTGTACTACGAAGCCGCCCTCCTGTCCACTAGCCTCACCCTACACACAGGGGGAAACAAGCCACAATGGGCAGAGATGGAGACTGCAGGGATATATGCGGGGGGCATAAAATACATATTCTGGGTACCCCACAAGTTGAGACCCAAACACAAAGATTTATTACCAACCACCTCCCTACTACTAGATACATGGGACTTGAAAACAAAATTCCTAGGGCAAACCAAACACTGGGCAATGGCGACCCCGATACGGAGCCTGCACATAGTCAATCCCACTTTAGACTACCGCCCCTGGACCCAAAGAGGGTGCACACGAGTAGAACACCTCTACAAAGAAGGCAAACTAGAACCATATCCCATTCTGAAAACCAAATATCAACTCCCGAATGCCACTCTGTTCACATACCTTCAGATAAAAGCACTTCTGGAGAACGAGACCTCAATAACAATAGCTACACCCTTAAAACAAATATATCACATATGCACCACGGGCAATATCCCAAAAAAGACACTCTCTCTACTCTACGCCACACTAAACGACAATCCCAAAACACCACCGCAAGACAAATTCAGGGAACACTGGCACGAAGACCTACATAAACAATTCACTGACAGCCAATGGCATAAAGCCTTTATAGCCCACAAAGGGAGATCTAGATGCGCAGCGCACTTAGAGCTCATGAGGAAACTGCAGTACAGGTGGTACATGGTACCAACGAGACTGGCAACCATGTATCCACATACGTCAAAACTGTGTTGGAGGTGCGGGACAGAGGAGGGCAGCATGTACCATATATGGTGGACATGTAACCAAATACAACCATACTGGAAAGAAGTAGGAGACATCATTCGACACACACTTGACACACAGAACCCCCTCCAGCCAGAATGCGGTCTGTTGTTTATGACCCTGGAGACATATAACAAGACACAAGCGATACTACTCTTCCATATCCTAATAGCCGCAAACACACTGATTGCAAGGGCTTGGAAACAAACCACGAGACCAGGAAAAGATGCATTACTGACCCAAATCTCCACCAACTTAATGTACGAAACCAAACTAAATGCCAAATTTGGTGCATCTGCTCAGGCAAAACAAGCCAGAGACAGATGGGAAGAGGTGACGAGAACCACATGTAGTGGTTAGGGAACAGCCCGGCAAAGATGCGGGAGATAGAGAGGGGAGGAAGAAGAAAAAAAAAAAAAAAAGGCCACCAAAGTCGCACAGCCATAAATCATAGGGTGAAACCAGACATACGCACAAACCAGGGGCAACAGAGAGTGTGAGAATCATAGTAGACGGATACCAATATGTAAATAGTTATAAAGATATGTAAATAGTTAGATAGATAGTTGACTTGGGGAAAGCACAAGATAAGAGTCACACCCAGATGGAGCAATCACACCGGCTGGCACGGTACGACACGTCTAGCAACAAAAGAGGGAGGTGTATTGTGATTATGTATTACATGCTGCGCCGCAAGGGCCGATGCTTTACCCCGATATGTTGTAACCCCCCCCCCCCGCAGGAATCTTGGATGTAACACAACTGAATACAAGAACATGTATACTGTTTCCCCCCCCCTTTTTTTTCCTTTCTGTACCCATATTATGAAAATGCAGAATAAAAAGTAACTTGAAAAAAAAAAAAAACAAAGCAGACAAACAACTTTCATAGCAAAGGTTAAACACCCGGAAAAGGGCATATCACGAACCCTACCAGATATAATGGAAGCCTTCCACAAGTTCTACTCAGAACTATACAACCTCAGGAGCTCCCCCCCGCTGGCAACAGACATTGAACGCTTCCTGACTCCCAGGGTGCATAAAAAAATCCCCAGTGAAGCACTGCAATCCCTAGACAGCCCCTTGACGAGAGACGAATTCCTTAAAGTAGTGAGCTCTTTGCCCCTGCGGAAAAGCCCGGGCCCAGACGGTTACACGGCCAAATACTTCAAAACATTCAGAGACATACTGGCAGATCCCTTTCTAGACGCCTTTAATTTCCTCACCGACACCCCAGCCCTACAGACTCCTGCTCTAGAGGCCCATATTACTTTATTGCCAAAGCCAGGAAAAGACCCCACCAACTGTGGAAGTTATCGCCCAATATCACTGATCAATGTAGACCTAAAAATTTTCACTAAAATTCTAGCAAATCGAAAAAAAA